TGAATTTTAGAACATCAGTTACCCCTCTGTTTGTGGTTTGAGGTGGTTTTGTTTGGTTGATTTGGGGGGGGGGTTGTGTTTGGTTTTGTTTGTTTCTTTTTCTAATGAGAATTGAGTATGTTGAGAGGCTTCCAGTGTCTGGAATGCAATGAGGAAAAAAAAGCACGATGCAAGTGTCAGCTAACAGATACCATATTTCATCATAGTTAAACCAGCTGTTTTATGTGATGCTGTTCATTAAATACTTCTCTAACAGTAACATGTATAAAGTGGTTTTGTTCTCGGTTTTCTAACAGAGAGATGTTACATTTTGTTTTTCCCAGCTGGATGGATTTATTGCGCGAAACTGGGCGAATCAGAAGTCAGCACTGGGAAGTGCTCTTGATCCTCTGGCTGATAAAATTCTCATCAGTGTGCTCTATGTAAGCCTAACTTGTACAAATCTTATCCCAGGTGAGAAAATATCGATTGTATGTACTACATAAGGTAAAGATGATTTTATGTGTTGTAATATTTCTGTTAAATATTTAACATCCCCGTAACAGACCTCACGGAAAGCATATGCTGGCCCCATAGAAAAGCAACTACCATTTTCAAATGCACTTTCTTTAAAGCAACAACAGTTAGTAGTTATGTTAATTTATTTTTTTTTAAATAGACTGGATTGTTTTAAGACTTAAACCCCTTCAGAGATCACGTTAAAAACCTTCAGTAATGCATAAAACCTGTTCAGAAGAATTTGGGAGTGGTTATTTTTTTCTTGCTTTATATTTTATGCTCCTTTGGTTGTGTTTTGTTTTTAATCATGGACATGGTTTTTCACTAGATCCTGTTGGCTTGATTTTTCAGTTTCACTTACTTCCATGATTATCCTGCGGGATGTAGCTCTGATTGCTGCTGTTTTTTATGTGCGATACAAAACTCTCTCTCCACCGGTAAGTGCATTAAACAAAACTGTTTGAACATGTAATCGTAATAAAAAATAAGTTAATAAGCCTTTAACAGAGCTGTGACCAAGAGGTTTTCATCTTAAGACTGGATGGTTGCTCAGAACGTGGGTGTATACCCTAAGATGTAATGCTTGTTCTTTTGCCAGATAGATTTCCAAGCAGAACAGGGTTTCATAAAATATGTTTCATTATGATGAGTCAGAGCTACTGATAACTTTTTTCCTTATATGTAAATAAATCATATAAAAGAGCAGTGTAATTCTCCAGTGCTACAGTTAACTTTTCTCTATCATGTGAAAAGGTGTATCAAATTGAGTGTACTAGTATACTGCATTTTTTATCTCTTCTCTCCCCCAACAGAGAACACTCAGTAGGTACTTTAACCCCTGTTATGCTACTGCCCAGTTAAAACCAACATTCATTAGCAAGGTAAGAGTAGTAAGTCATTACAGAAGATAACTCCTCAGTACTTGGGGTGTTGTGTAGTTTGGAGGGAGGGGACAATTTACTACTACTGCTGAGTACAGTTTCAAAATAGTGCACATCTTGATTTGGTCACAATTCCCATTTTCCTTTTTTTTCAGATGAATACAGTGGTTCAGCTAATTTTGGTGGCAGCTTCTTTAGCAGCTCCTGTTTTCAATTATGTGGACAGCATATATCTGCAGACGTTATGGTAATTTAGCTTTCTTTGTTTTTTTTTCCAGATAATTTAATGTGCTTGCAAAGAAACTAGTAATTGAGATGTGAGGAACACAAAAAAACTGTGCCCATATGATGTAATGTGCCTGAATTTTTACACCTTTGTTTATGAAACGATGCCGGAGATAGATATTTATTAGTGCTTAATTTACTGTGCAAGTAAAAAGTAGTCAAATGAAACTAGTTAAGATCTGGAAAGAATAGCTCAGAAACAAGTCTTCAGGTGTACACAGGCAAAGCATAAATTCAGATCAATAAAAAAAAGGAATGGGAAGAAAGGCTGTATGGATTCTTCAGTTATTCATGCCCTAAGTGTCCTTGAAAAAGCAACCTTGATATCAGTAAAAATAGACATGAAGTGTATTCTTATTTTTGCTTTATGCTGTACCTGCTGTACTGAAATCCAGGCTTCTGAAGCCTCTTTGAAAAGCACATGAAGAAATGGTGATTCCTGCTAGATTGTAGGAAGGAAGGGGAGAGATCGAATGAAAACCAGCATACAGGAGTGTTCCTCCTTAGACAGTGCTGTTCCTTTCACAACTGCCCTTGGAGACCAGAACTGACCTGAATCTGAGTTGTAGCCGACTGTAGGTGTTAAAAGTGCAGTTATTTTTCCTGAGCAGTTAAATAAGAGCTCAGAACAAAGAGGCTGAACAGCAGATACCAGAATTACTTAGTTACTTAGTTAAAGGAGTGAAAAATCCAGTGTTGCTCTGTCTTCTAGGGAAAAAAAACCCCACACGAAACCATATAAACCAAAATCACAAAACCAAAACCAAAAGCATTTAAGGAACTAGGAACCTTGATCTTAACAGTCAGTGTGGTTTTTCATTGTGTTGGAGAAACAGATCTAGGGTTGTATCTGTGAAAGATGCTTTCCTTGCCGCTTGTCTGGGACTCTAGGAGAGTTACCATGCTGTGAATAATGGAGAAACGTTGTGTGTAATTTGCCAGGGTCCTCTGTAAAAACTTTCAAAAATGTCCTGTCTGAGTTCTTGCCCAGGGAGGGTTAACAAAAGGGCAGGACTGTGGCAGTGACTCACACCTCAGTGGGTGGCATCAGCCTTTTACACAGAGGAGCACTGATACTTTAGGAATATGTATGGTTGTCAGCCAGCATCTGGGAAGGAAACAAAACAGGCTGAAGCAGAAACTCGCGCTTTAGCTTTGGAACTTGGTAAAATGGTAAGTTCAAGTCTTGTGTGGTTTGAACGTTCCCCTTACAGTCTACCAAGGAGCAGTTTCTCACATCAGTCAGTTCTCAAGCTGGTGAAAGTTATGTAGGCTGCAAATGCTGAATGTTTTGTCCTCCCTTCTCTAAAACAAATGCTAATATGGTAAAAATTTGTCTTAGTATGGAGTTACACTGAAGCATGCAGCTTAGTGCTGGATGGCAGATCCTTTGTCTAATACCCCATGCTGAATTTCAGCATAGAAACTAAACTGTGGAGCTGTGTAGTGAAAAACAGGGAAGACACTAAAAAGAAAAACAGTTATTGTATTGTGCATAGACTCACATGACTTACAGGAACTGTTTTCCCCCAAGGTGCATCACAGCTTTCACAACGGTGACATCTGCCTACAGCTACTACCACTATGGCAGGAAAACAGTCCAGGTGATAAACAACAAATGAAGTTTTTATGGAAGCACAGGGACTTACCAGCATGGGGTGCTGTGCCTGCAAAGATGGTTGTATTGCCAGCTGAGTTTTGGATCGAGCACTCTTGTTTGTCTGCTTTAACCCATAGCATCACAATGAAATGAAATTTGAACATGTACTGTGTATATATGTAGAGAGAGACTTTTCAATGTATTTTTAATTTCTTTAAAAATGGGGTTGTTTACAAAAACAAATAAATAACATTCTTAAAAACACAGATCACATGTTGCTGCCACGTGAATAATTTTGAATAATTTTGTACTGTTGTTGAAGTCAAAATACACAGTTCGCACCAGGTTTTCTTGCCATCTTCGTACAAGGCACTGAATAAGCTGAGATTTGAGAAGAAAAAGCAATTACAAGAGCAAATTTGTCTTTGTACCTCATCTTGAGTCAGTAAACCAGCATTGCTCATTAGGACCTAATGACATATCTCAGTTTGCAGCAGAGGAAAACAGTATTTTCAGAAATTTAAACCAGAGAAAAATCTTACATCGTGTTCCATGTTGATAGGGGTAAGCCATGAAGAGTTCCTACCCTGCTCCCTTTTCTTTTTAAATATGCAATGATGAGCTGTGCTGAGTTTAGGTCTCAGAAGGCTCAGCAGTGCAGTGAGGACTCTGTACTCTAAAGGAATTACGTTTTTCATACTATATATTAATTTCTAGTGATTGAAAGGAGCCCTTATATCTCCAGATTCTTAAAGCTCCTAAAGGTGCTGTTTAATCTAAATAGTGCTGGCAAAAGAGGACATTTTAAATACTGTCCAAATGAAAGGAGACAGTGGAAGAAACCTTTAGATGCACGTACTGTTAATTCTTGCTGTTCTTCCAGCTTCAGGAGATGCATTGTCATCCCTCTCGGGCAAGGAAAACTCATTCTTTGCCTGTTCTCTACTTACAAAACCACACAGAAGAAAGAACTAGACAGAAGACATCACGTTGATTGTAAACTCATGGTTTCTTACTCTAAGCAGCATGATTTTCTCTCGTGTGTCATAAAAAAGAGTGCAATTGTGAAGGGCTTAAATAATTGAAATCGAGGTAAATGATACTGCTGTATTATTAGCAGAAGAAAATTTGTTGTAGACATCTCTTGAGAGCACATAGTGTCTTTTGTGATAGCATATGTTTGTATATACAAAGCATTTTAATATTTTTTTTATATTAAAACTTGTATAAAGCCGTGTACAGAGAAAACACTTGATCTTTATTAGTACCTTTGTCTTAAATATCAGTACCTCTGTCCCCATGTTCCGTGATCAACACTGCGAAGGGACAGAGGGGAAGTTTCCGCAAAATAGAGGAGTATTTAGTAAAATGGAGCACATTTTTTCTTGACGAAACGGTTTGAAAAGCAGAAATTTATCGTTCCTAGTCGGGTCAAAGCTGTTTGGTTCTGCTTAATGCAATGGGGGTTGGGGGGGGGGTTCCTTTTACCTATCGCATGGAATTGCCCGGGGCTGGTCAGCGAGGGTGCCAAGTTAAATGTACAATGGCTCAGTGGTTAAATAAAATTCGTTTGGATGCTCCAGCCGCTGGCGTGTCTGGTGTTCCATGGTTACAATCCGCTTGATGGGAGCGTGATCCATCCCCTGTGCCAGCTGGGCGTGTGCGGGGCGGGGCGGGGCGCAGCGCGGCGGGGGCTGTCTCCTCGCGGCCGCCGTACCCGGGCGGGCCCGCCCCGCCATGCCCGTGATGGCGGCGCCGGAGCCGCCGCAGCCGGAAGGTTCGCGGCCCCTCAGCGCCCTCCTGAGCGGCATCGCCCAGGCCGCCTTCCACGGCAACGCCGCTGTCACCGACGAGCTGCTGCGCGGGCAGCTCTACCCCGAGGCGCCGCCGGAGGAGTTCCGCGCCCTGCGCACCAAGATGGGCGGCCTCCTCCAGGTACCGGCGCTGGGGCGGGGAAGGGGCCGCGCTCTGGGGGGGATCCGCTGTCTCAGCCTCCAGGTCTCGTCGGTGGGGCTCTGGGGGCAGCCGAAGCCGCGGGTGCTGCCTTTGTAGGGACATCGGCCACCCTCAGCGCGGGGCCGAGCCTGGCCAGCCCCTCCCAGCTTAACCCAGCCCAGCACAGCCCAGCCTGTCCTTGCCCAGTCTCTCCGACCGTTCCTCAGGAGGAGCTTGTCAGCCCCCCACGCTGTGAAGGGGTAAAGGCACCACTGGGGTTCTACAGCCTTGCAAATAAGTACCCGCTACTTTCTGAGGAGAGCTGCGGATTTCTCACCAGACAGCTGTGTTTTGGCGGAAACAAGCCGTTTTACACAGACAGCAGTTTTGGGGTTATGTATAAGACAGGAGAAGATATTCTTTCCCCTTAACGGATCTTTTTTTGAGCTCCGTTCGGCGAGAAAAGAGCAGTGTAGTGTAGTGTAGTTCCCGGCGTCTCGATGTGGCTCAGGGAGCCTCCAGGTGCTAAATCCTTGGGTGGCCACTGCCACCTTGTGGGTGAATCCGGGGCGCTTTGGCCTCTTTGGATTTATAAACTCGGTCGGTAGTTTTAAATCTAACTGACATACTGGGAATTTGATGAGGATGCTGGCACTGTTTTTCTGCTTTCATGGAGATTCCGTGGTTCATTTAGTGATGAGGTTCATATGATGCCCTAAAGCGTCCAATGAAAGCTGAATCATAAAGATTGATTCTTTTAGGACTGGAGACTGGTTTTGTCTGTGGGCTTATTTCGTTCCCTCCTCTCAAGTACAACTCTTACTTGAGCACTGTTGAGATGTCATACTCTGGACATAATGTTAATTCAGAAGACACAGGTGATTAAAGTTTATAACCCATTGCTGTAAAATCATCATCATGGCTAGGCTTTGCGAACGAAGATTTGAGAAGGGCCCTACCCACACTTGCTACAAGCGCACTGATGGCTAAAAAGGCCAATGCGAGATAGACAAGTCTGGTTGCAGAACGTACAGCAGAAAGACTCTCCAGGTGATATCGATGAGACGCGATTCTTTCTGCACTGTCTTTTCTCCTCGAGAGTGACCCTGCGTGTGTTCTCAAAAGCAGCAGCAGCGTTAGAGATGGTGTGTCTCCAGGCCTCCCAGTTGGAGGCCAGGGTAGACCAATGGTGGTGGTCAATATTGCCAAGGCTGAGGGATTGTTTCAGGCAGTCCTCGTATCTCCTCTTTGGGGCTCCTCTCTTGCCGCAGCCAGTGGCAAGTTCCCCATAGAGCACGATCTTAGGGAGGCGATGATCCTCCTGGAGACGTGCCCTGCCCAGCGCAGCTGAGTTCTCAGCAGCATGGCCTCAATGCTCGTGACTGCTGCCTGTTCAAGGACAGACGTGTTGGTCACATAATCCATCCAGTGGATGTTTAGGATTGTACAGAGGCAGCGCTGATGGAAGCGTTCTAAGAGATGCAAGTGGTGCCAGTAAATGACCCATGATTCAGATCCATATAAAAGTGTAGACAGTACAATGGCCTGTAAACACTGATCTTAGTACTTTTCTTCAGGAGTTTGTTTTGCCACACTCTTTTATGGAGTTTACCAAAAGCTCTGTATGCCTTTGCTAACCTGTTGTCTATTTCTGCATCAATCTTACTATCCGAGGAGATGATGCTTCCCAGGTATGTTGTAAAATAGGCATATAGCTTAGGAGGATGACTATCTGCTGAGGAGAGGCTTTCACGTTTCCTGTGTGCTGCTTCAGAAGCAAAACTAGTGGTGGTTGTGGTCATCGAGGTCACTCTCACCTTGCAACGTAAATTAGCATCTCACTGTTACCAGGTGTGTCTTGTGGTCTTCATGGCCAGCACTCCTCTCATCTCCTTAGGGATGAAAGTCCTGCGAAATTACTGAAATTTATGCAGTTTAGCTCTAAAGATGAAGTTTTGTGCTAAGCAATACACAGACTACTTTGTACAACTTCATGTGGACCATGCATGGATTTTGGGATGCTTATGCCTGACAGGTAACTGGAAGTAGTACCCAAGTCCTGTGAATACTTTTAGCATCTCTAGTCTAGAGCATCCTCAACAAAAAAAAATCTTTTGGCCTTCTGGTCATTTTGAGGGCACCTAAATTAGATGGGATGGATAATGCCTCATGCATGTCTCTTGAGGATTTTTTTTTTTTTCTGACATCCATCTCCTTGATGGTCAGAAGCAGAGAGATTCATTGCCCTTGTGACTTAATTGCTGTAGTAGTTCATGTCTTTTAAAACACAGATCTGCACCATAAATCAACCACTTGCTTTTACTGGAGCTGAGCATAAATAAGGCAAAGGACTTTCCTGCTCCCTTCTGCATTCCACCTGTGCAAAGCATGGCGCCTGTGAGAAGTATGGAGATGAGTAAGTGACACTAAAGTGTCAAAAAGCATTTAAATATGGTTTTTTTTCCCCTTGGATTATGTACAGAGTAGTCTTGGTTTTATATTTGTAAAATATGTCGTTATGATCTACTTTTTACAGATATTTCCTTTGCTGGCCATAGAGCTGCTGAATGAGCATGAATCATCTGAGCTCTTTCTAAAATGCCAGATTTATCTTGTAGTGAAATGATGTTTTTTATTAAATTTACTTTTTTTTTTCTGTCTTATTTCTTGTGTGGAAGGTAGAATAAAGCCCTGGGAAGGCTGGCCCTGGAGAACTGTATGATTTCAATGTTGTTCTGTCAGTTGTTTCTCATCCCTCCCAGCCTTCTGTCCCGTAAGGCCATGAAACACTGAGAATCTGAGGGAGATCAGCTTTTGCAAATTCTCACCCCCAGCTTTTTTTGGTTTGTCAAATATTACTTCATCTTGATTAAAACACTAAATTTGTCTCCTTCTTACATAAGTTTAATTTACAGTATTAGTCCACTGGTAACAGTGACTTTACAAGTGGAGTAATCCCACTATTTTCCTTTTGGTGGCAGTAAGTTATTGCATTTATTGAACGGGATCATTTGCTGCTGGGTTGAAAGTGTCCCTGGTTCACTCTTCTGCTTCAGAACAAACTGTACACAGGCTAAATAAGAATAAAAATTTCAGCGTGAGGACTATAAATATTTTATTATATTTTATTCCCCTCTCCCCCCTCAAATACCGAGGATGTTGCCATCTGTAATAAATATCCTGCTATGTGAATGGGTAAAATATTAATCAGATTCTATTAATAATGTGTGGGAACCAAGAGCCTGATATCCAGCATATAAGATGCACCCGAACTCTGTGTATGCACTTCATAACGTTCACTTGCCCTCTTCCATCAATGGTTTTCATTAGGAATCATGCCAGTAGTTCTGTTAGGTTACTGTGATGTTTAATTTCAGTGGTTTTCAGCCAATCTGGGTTACTGGGCCTTGCTGTGCCATGGCACACACAGTGTTTTTAAGTCCCATCTTGAAGCTATTTCTGGTGATTGCTTTTCTTCATGCCATCAGAGAAAAGCTGTTGAATGAGAAACCTTTTGATCCAAATCTTATCCAAAGGCTTGTAGGAGAAAAATTAGTGTGACCACTGGATACAATCTCTCGGTGTGTAAAATGCTCTGGAGTTGCATGAGCAAATTGTGTGTGCCTTGAAAGCTGCCCTGTGCTCTTACCAGGTGTTGTCCCTAAAGATTGTCACTTTCCTGCTAGGGACTGTGCTCCTTTCCCTATGAAGTTGCTGTTGTGACCTCGAGAGAAGTTCCCAAAGCGTTGCTACCATTGTTTGAGAAGGAAGGGACTATTTGATCTTCATAAAAGGGATCTGCCCTTACATGAAAAGTCAGGAAAACAGTTGTAAGGTTCACTCAGTTATGGGGGATATAGAGGCCTTTGCATCTTCTTCAGCAGGATTTCTGGGAACTGAAACATTTCTGTTAAGGATTTCTGAAGCAATTTCTGCCAGCTGGTAGGAAATAAATGACTTCTTGCATTTTCTAATTAGGGAAGAGCGTTGCTATTCTTCCATCTCCTCAGATGCCTTGTGATTCCTCAAGTACGTGGGTTGAGTCATGAGCCCAGGAGCACTTTGCAGTTGTCCAGGCTTCTGCAAGGCTGAGAGGCAGAACAGCTTCAGTCTAAAGGCTGAGATAAAATAATTTCGGAAGAGTTAACAGGAGGGGCTGCTTGATTTCTGCCATTTAGAGTTGCAGTTGTGCCTGCACCTACTAACTAGAGAGAGAACTCAGTGACCACACTTGTTCTTCTTGATTCAGGTAAAAGAAAAGAAGTTTCTGGTACAGCAGTGCCAACTGTGCCCATATGAGCTGCTTTCTACCCAAATGTGTCCTGTGTTACTGTTATACTTTTCACTCTAGCAAATGACTGTTCTTGCTATGAATAATTGTTACTGGGCTGGGTGAAAATGTATTAATAAGTTTGCACAAAATTTTGGGAGGGAGGGAGGGAGGGAGGGAGTGTCTAGTGTGTCATAATTGGACATATATAAGAAAATTACTATCCGAATTGATGTTTGCCTGGAACAACTAAATAAAAATCTTAGCCTATTTTTTAATTTAGTGAAACACCACTATAATGTAGCTCACTAATCTGACCACTGCTCAGTTGCCAAGTCTGCAGTGTCTGGTGTTGAAGGATTCATTTTCATTTTTATATTTTCATATAAACTATAAACCCGCAGTTATTGCTTCTTTTTTTCTTTAAATTTCTTTTCCCATTTTCAGCATTGTCTTAGGAGGGTGGAAAATGTAATGTTTACCTGAATGTAATGTTTACTTCATCACTGCTGTATTGCAGTGATGAAAATGTGCAGGGATACTATCCCAAATCATTCTTCCTAGTGCTTTCAGTATGAGTTATTTTAGATTTTAGGTTTGTGTGCTTATGGTCAGTTCACATAAAGACTGGGACAGCTGGCAATTAACATAAAGTGGAGAGGGAAAATACTTGAAAACAATGAACTGGAGAGGAAGGTTGGATGCAGAGCGTGATGATTGAAGAACGTTG